TGTGACCTCAGGCTGCTATCAGGAACTGCTGCACAGTAGATCTGTACTGCCAAATCTGTGAAGTAACCAGTCATTTGAAATCCCTTGGAAGTTATTGTGTGTATTGTCAATCCTTTCCACCTGAGTGGGTCCCAGAAGAGGTTTTCATCCTCTGGTGAACATCTGACTAGGTCAACTTAAAGAGAAGATGTGAATGAAGTTGTTTTCTCCGAGCTGTGACGTTTGGGAGGATTGTGGCATTTCAGGTTAGGAGGTTCTGGTGTTGCAGTAGGGAAGTCTCCTGTGGAGGAAGAGTGGGGGCCCTCCCAGTAAATCAAACAATGCTCACTAGAACCAGCTGGTCTCCAGAGGCAGAGCTGCAGCCACCCTGCCTCCCACCACTGGCCTTTCAAAATCTGTAGGTGTCAGAATAATAGCAAACTCTGATCAAATGCCTACTGAGGTGTCATGCTTTGGAAAACATAGAACCATGTGTTTTGTCATTACAATGGAGATCATAAGACACTGAATTACTTTTTGAGAAATGGGTGTTGGATTTGCATGGCTGTGTTTTTGTAGTGGGGGGCTACAGGAGTGGATTCTGTGAGAAGCTGCCTGAAGGTTCCCCTGGGTCTGATTGAGCCAATGCCAACCAACTCCAAGATGGACTCACCACTGCCTGACCATCACCATCAGCAGTGGTGGTTGTGCCTCTGTTTTCAAATAGTAATGTGTTTTCAGAAGGGGAGAGGGGCTATTGAATGTTATCACTGAAAAAAAACAAAAAAACAGCTGCCAAATTATTCAAAAAGGATGAAGAAGTTCAAGTGTGTTAAACTAGCAAAGTAACATGGGTAAGATTTGTAAAATGAATTAATTTTTGGATGTATTTTTCTAGCTTGTTTGTTTGGAATCAACAAAAGCAGAAGCTGATGGAGTAAGTCTTTGAGATAATGCCTTGAATATTTTGGGATAATAAAATTCAACAGGATACACAAGGAAGTTTTCTTCTGACTGTAGCTGTTAACATCTTCCAAACGTAGGATCAGCTCTAAACTGCAAATCACCCCAAATTCAAAAAGACAGAAATAATCCAGTAGGATGAGAATGCAGTAATTTTACTTCAGGTTTCTCCTGAAGTGGAACTCTTAATTTCTGTTCCCAGCCCATAGCCTGTCTGCTCAGGATGGGATGGCAGCAGCTGAGGCCCTGCACCTATGGTAAATGTGTTGTGTGCCTTATCATCAGTGTTCTTAGAACATAACAGTCAGGGCTTAGGTAGTTAAGTGAGTAAGAAGGTATTGTCCCATAAATAAATCTTTGTTAGCTGGATGCATAGTGTTCACACTTGCAAGTCATGATAGATGAGGATTTGTTTGAAAACACAGCAAAGATGGTGCCATTTCAGACTGTGGTCACATCTTCAGAGTAACTTGGCTTAGTAATTGTCTCTTGTTAAAACAGAACCTGAAGGGGTTTTTTATCTATACCCAAGGAAGGTGTGTGTACCTCATGTACCTTAACAAACACGAAATGATTATGCATCATTTTTGCTGACATAGTCTGATTGCAGCAGAGGCTGAGAATTTGGATAAAACCCATTTAAATTTTTTTTTTTTTTCAGAAAGTTTCCAACTGGAGCAGTACTGTTTGTGCAACATTAGTCTATCCCTTGTTTTGCAGTCCTTAATTCTCAGTCTTAAATCAGGCATGTGTAACTGCAGCAGTTGAGAAGATGCTGCCTTACCCCAGGCTGGGTGATGGGTTGTGTTTAGGCAGTTCAGTGAAGGATCAGATGGGTGGTTTTTTGTTTCCATAGTTGTATTGACCAGTGAAATTAAATCTGATAAAGATGCTTTTTAGTAAACTTACCCAAGAACTGATGCCTTGTTGCCAAAGCAGTTGAGTATTAAAATGCATTTAGTGTTTTGATTGCTTTTGGGGTTTTTTTTTGCTCTGGAAAATAAAGCAGTAATACACTGTAAGAACACAGTACCCAAACCAGTCAGTTAATAAGCTTATTAATTCATAAGAAAGTATAAATAAGTTATCTATAATAATATTAAGATGCTTTGCCTAATTTGGTTAATAAGTCTGTGTTATACCAGAATGTCTTCCTTTAGTCAATTTTTACATGCTAATTACTGAGAAACTTGTTAATAATTCATCATCATGCTTGTATAAACTGCAAAATCAAATTTTACTTTTGCTCCTCTCCAGAATATTAATGCAGTAATATCTCAGTTCTTGTGGGAAAAGTCACCAAAAGCAGCTTCTCCAGTTGATCACAACAGGAGTCTGGAGCATAAAGCACTGGGGGAATCTGCTGTGGTAGTTGAGTGAGACCTGACATTGTGGGGAGGATCACTTGGCAGCAGGACATGCAGGGTGCAGGTTCTTGTACAGCTCCTCTTGTTGAACTGTTCTCTGAAATATTCATTCTTTCAGTGATTCAGACAGGTTTTTCTGTCATTAAAAGCGTTGACTTCTTTGAACAGAAGAGATTTTTTGTTTGTTTTCAGCTGTAATTCAGAGATATTTTTGTTGGCAACTCTTTAAAGTTTGTTCTTTCCAAATCTTACTTAAAGACTGTGTTTAATTTTTAGTCTTCAAAGCATAGTCCTCAGTGACGAGACTGACTTAGTTCATGGTTCTTTCTTTTTTAGCAAGAAAAGTGGTGTCAAGGAAACATGTGTTAAGATCTAGTTCAATAAATCATAAAAAAGTGAGATCAGTAAGGAAGGAGAACACAAACTTCAGCATCTCTGTCACATTCCTGCAGATAAACCTGCAGGTGAATTGAGCTTTATCCAGGGTCTTTCACCACTGCTTTTTGCAGCATGACTGCATTCTTGTTGGTAAAATGTGCTTAACTGTGTCAAGAGCATTCTGATTTAAAAAGAAATAAAGATCATCCTCTGAGTGTGTTTTGTTAAAGTTAAATCCTATTTCTCCCAGCTCAGAAATGGAGAAGTTGCAGTGACTTAGCTGTACCTTTTCATCATAGCAGCTTTCCAAAAACTATAAAATGCAAATTAACCTCCTGATGCTTATCAGATTTGCTGAATCCTTTAACTTTTACTCAGCTTTCACTTTGAAATCACAGGCTGGTGGAAATACTAAACATCTGTGATTTTCCTGGAGAGAGGAAAGTTTCCTGTCAGTTAGAAGAAGGTGCAAAATTAATTGCTTCAAAATCACAGATAGGTAAGTTACAGAAAGTGGCAAAGCTGAATTGTCAGGCTTAGATACAAAGAAATTGGACTTATCAGGTGCCATGGCTCTTGTTAAATACACATTTACCAAGAGAGTCTTATGTGTTCAAAAAAGATAGAAGTAGACAATTTTAATAACAAATTTCATCTAGGCATATGACATCTTGCTTTAAATGCTCCATTAGATTGAATGAACAGGGAACAGATTAGTGGGATTAAAAATTCTTTCACTAAGAGATACCAAAGTGTGTCACTGCCAAAATGTGTTGAGTGGGGTTGTATGTTGTTTCACAAGGAATCCTTGCTTCCTCCAAAGATCTGTGGTGCTTTTTTAACAGTCTAGATGGTGATACAGAGTTTTTGAAGGCAAAGTTTAAAATCCTGAGGACTGACCATCAGAGGGCTGGAATCATCCAAGTGTGGGGGATGCAGCTGAGTTCCAGGCAAAATGCAAGAGCAAAGAATTATGTTTATATTATCCATCAGGAGATCATAATCTAGAACAGTTTAAGGTGTCCATATACATGCATTTGTGTGTATATATACATATCTCAGTGTAAAACTGTATTGCCATTATGTAGAAAGTCAGAGAAAAGTAGAATGTTAATAATTCTTTATTCTGCATCCAAAGCTGTAAGAACAACTGGAAGCTGAATCAGAACAATTATGTCTTTAATGTGCTGCAGCATAGGCTATTAAACATCCAGAACTTTCTGTGAGATGTTGGAATCACTGTGGTACTGTGAAATTTTGATGGAAGCCTTCAGATCTGTTTTAACCTCATTACTCTGAAATCTCTGGCCTGTGTTCACAGGCAGCAGGATTGCAGGATCATATTTCCATCCTGAGTATTCTGTGATGCTGAATACTTGCTGGATGTTCTCACTGATTCTTGGATATGTAGCTATTTAATGTGTGAATCTTCATCTTCTTGAATTTCTCAAGTGTCTTTTTGAAAATTATTCTATTATAAATGAAGTGCTAACTCAAAAACTCATAAACTTTAATCTTCATAAGTGTGATAACAGCTCTTAACCAAGGCCACAGGGCTGCTCTCTGGGGTCAGCCTAACCTGCTGCAAGCAGGAATAAGGACATGAGTTCTCCAGAGTCCTGGCTGAGGTGTGCTGGAGTTTTGGAGAGCTCAGTACTGTGCAGGGGGTTTGTCACAGCTGAAGCTTTGTGAAATTCTCTCTCATGGTTGGGAGGCACGTGTCAGATGGACTTGTCTAGGAGATGTGTGTTGTGTGGAGGACTTGGAAGTGGTGACCTAACCCATCTCACCGTGGTTTTGTGGTGATGTCTGCCAAAAGCTGGCCACTTGTTTCATAAAAACAGCATGAGGATGTGCAGTTGAGAGAAATTACCACTTTTTTCTGTTTCTGCCCTGCCTAACCTGTGGAAAGCCCTGATCCCTTAATGTACATCAGGTGAATGACTCCAGGTGTTTGTGTGGGCAGTTGAGCCCTGACCAGTTGAATGCTTCTTACTTGGTGGGAGTTTGGCTGTGGGGTTTGGCTCATCTGCTCTTGAATTGAAGAATTGTCACCTTTGCTTAACAAGTGATAGTCTGGGTTTTCCAGGTGGTACAGTTGCTTAAAGCATCAAGTCAAACACCATCAGCTGGGACCCTGACTGCGGTCTCAGAAGTCTCTTTCCAGTCTATTCTTTTATTGCACAAAAAAAGAAAACAGAAATCTGTTTCTGAATAAAGAAATACAGCAAAATTTCAGTCGATTTCATGCTGTTGTGAAGTGGATCTTGAAGTGAATATTAAAAATATGTTTTGGCTTTTCTGTCTCTGCAGAGTTTACAGATGCTCCCTCAGCAACGGAAAGCCATAGCAAAGTTCAAGGAGCCAGCACATGCTTTAGCATTTCAACAGAAATTCCACAGGTAAATAATTAAGCACTGCTGCCACCATGGGTCCTTCCTTCCTTTCAGAAGATAAAATCAGTCTCCTCTGGCTCAGTGTTTCTTTAATCCAATCAAGCATCTGTTGATTAGTGACCTTCATGGAAGCTCCATGCCCGAATCAGTCTGAGCACCACATTTAACTTTGTTTTAACTTTTAACAGGCACATGATAGATCTGTCCCACATCAACGTGGCACTGATAGTGGAGTGATGTCTGCAGAGAAGCCCCTGCACCAGCCTCAGTGTACTGTGGAGCTACAGACTCACAGAGGAAAATCCATCGGGTTGGGACCCTGTCAGCTCAGTCTGTAACTGCTCTGTTGAACTCCAGAAAGCACCAAGGTGACCTCCAGGAGAGGTGAATTCGACAGGATCTGCAAAGGTGGAATTTCTGTTCAGTTTCTTCACATTCTGTTGTAACCACATGGAATTATAGAGTTTTTTTTTTTTTCCAAAATGCTTTTGATGCATGTAGACATTGTTCTTCAGGATCCTACTGTGTGACCACAGTGACTTGAGAGAGAACGGTTACAGCGAAAGATTTGAAAAACTTTCAAAGAATAGCAAAGAATATTTGATAATGGTTGCTCTTATCTTCAGTGCAAGGTATTTGAATGAAAACACATTTTTCTAAACAAATTAGTTGCATTGTATACCTGAGAGCACAGAAGGTATTCTTGCATAGATTTGAACATGGTCTGCTTTGCTGAGTAGCAGTTTGCTGAGAAGCTTTGGAGGTGACACTGGAAAATTGTAGTTTTGATTTTTGTAAATAAGTCTCTGCATTCTTCTATTCCAACATAGACTTTCATTTTCTCTTTCCAACTCCACTTATTCCATAAAACCCTGTGTAGGAGGAATAACACTGCTGTATTTTCCCTTGGTTTTTAAAAACAAGGATCTTCACCCTTCAGTAGCATCGTGGGGTAGTGAACTCTGAGTTGTAATTAGGTTGTTTTAAATAACTCTGCCAGATCTAAGGAAAAAGAAGTATTTGGTGGGTTACTTCAAAAATGTTATGCAGGAAGAGTGGTGCATTCCTGATAGTTCTTCTGGCCTAGTGTTTCATGGTTGCCTCATGCTTTATTTTGATCAGGTTTTTTTCTTTGAGATTTATTTTGTCATTAATGCTGAACAGTAAGAAACCTGTAACTGAAGGGACTTGTTTTGATGTGGTGTTCCTGATACATAAAGGACAATAAGGACATTGTGAATCTCCTGATGAGCGTGTCAGTTCCCAAAAATGCTATGAAAACATTAAGGAGCTTATATTTTATTCAAAGTAAAATTCATAATATTTCCTTTTGGTTAGAAGCATCCAGAGGGGGTTGCCAAAGTAACAATTTTTTCAGTTACTTCTGAATAAACTTATTAAAATGTCATCTTTATATTGGATTCCAGTTTTTATGAACATTTCCTTAGTTTTTAGACCATGATGTTTTGCTTCATGCTTTATTTTAGGAATACTCTTAAGGACTCCACCTGCTTTTTGAAGGGGGGACTTGCAGAAATGTAGGTTTGTTACCTGAGTGACTGCAGAAGAACACTATGGGTATGAAATAAAAGAGCTGCAAATGGGGTCCCAAATAGGCATGCCAATCTAGAAGGGATGAGCTAAGCAAATTTATACTACCTTTTTTTAATAGTATTTTTTTTTTTTTTGGATGATTTAATGGCACAGATACCTAATTGGCTTTCTTCCACTTTTGGTCCAGATTTTCAATTAAGTAAAAGTTACCAAAAATAATGAGGGAATAAGTACTGTCAAAAGACTTTTAGGTAGACCTGCTCTCTATTCATTGAAATAATTTAGGATAACATGGTGCTTGGGAAATATTCTTGAAGTCCATTTAAAATTTAGTGACAAGACACAGTAACAGAATGAGAATCTTTTCATGGAGGCAGGGTTTACAGCCACCTGTATAATTCATGCATAATGTTTAATGACAGCCACAGCTGCTGTACATGAAGTGCTGTTAGTGCTTCAGGGTAGAGCCAAGCCCAGGACAGAGCTGCAGGTAGGAAGTGCCCACTGGGGCCAGCCCCAAAGACCTGCAGAGTGATCAGCCCCAGGCTGTGGAACTCCTCACACCCTTAGCTCTGGGACCCCTACACTGCCTCCTCAGGTTATGTCACTTTTACTCCTAAGAAATACCTGGTGATCTTTAAAATAAGGCATTGAACAGTTGCTCATCCCACTGTTAGGGAGCAGCTTCTCTGCAGTGAGCAGGACAAGGAGACATCTCCGGAGTCACGGTAGTGCGTGCCTGGAAATCTGGGATAGATGCAAACTCCAGACAGGCCAGCAGCTGAGTTCAGCAGTAGGAACATCTGCAGTTGATCAGCTGTCCTGTCAGAAGCAAACATTATTGGGGTTAGAGGGTTTCTTGGAGCCTAAGAATATGGGTTTGATTCAAAAGTCAAAGAAGTTTGTAGAAACGCTCCTGCTTTGGGTTTTGAATCCATCCCAAAGAGCCTGAGGTTCAGCCAACTTAAGTTTTAAAAATTTTTATTCACTTGGGTTTTTAATTTTTTTTTTTTTTTTGAGACAAATGTGTGGCTTTGGAATAAAGGCATGAAATGGCCTCGTATCTATTTAAATGAAGGAGTGACATGAGCAATGCCTGTTTAATGAGTAGATGCATCCTCTTTAACAGCAGTTGCAGGAGATTTATGCTTGTGCATAGACAGGGTATGGGTGGATTGCTGGGGATTAATTCAGCTGCTTACTGCAGTACCTGGGTACCTTCCTCCATGTAAACCTACCTTATGTATGTATGTCTATATTTGTTTTATTATACACATACATACATACTCACACCCTGTGTTGTCACCATGTCTCTCTAATGTCCTAAAAAACTCAGTAGCAAAAGTAGCAATTAGGTGAGTCACTTTTTGAAATGTTTGTGTTCTCTTACTGCTCAAATCATAACCTAAAAGTGGATCTCTTGGCATTGATTGGTTTGGATGATACAGCTCCTTTAGATCCATTTACTGTCTCCTCCCAAAAACACCCAAAGGAAATAGAGGTAAAGCTAGACAGACGTGTTCTTGATGTGTTCTCTTCCAGCACAGAGTTAAATCTGAGCATTCTAAGTTAACTTTCTTGGAAGATCTGTTGCAACCATTATCTTGTTCTTTCTTTGTAGTGAATTCACAATACGATGCAAAATGGAAAAAAAGAGAAGGCATTTATGTAGTATGTAAATATTGACCTTTTAAAATTAAAATGCTACTCAAAGTGCTTACAGTCAACCACATCTTAGCTATTTGTTAGTTTTTTGTGTTGTCTTATCTAAATTTAAATGGATATGGTTCCATAAATGTTGATGTGTTTTTGTGTATATCTTCAAATTTTTATAAAGATGCTAGTAAGTCAATACATATATCCTGATCTGTGTATTATTTGTTCAGTTTTTATTAGCATAATTTTATAATTATTTAAATAGGCAACTCCAGTAGGTGGTTATATGAAGTCAACTTTTTTTTTTCAAATTATTTCATTTCCATCTTGTACCACTGGAAAATTCACTTTATAACTATTCATATTTTGCCTTGACTAAAATATTGAAGTACCCATATGATCTGTGGTATTTTAGTTGAATGTTCTACTTTTTTTTTTTTTTTTTAATTAAAAAAACCCTTAAACAACTCTGTCCTTTAACTTCTGAGGGGAAACACTGTCAGACCAAGGCACGGGGTCTCTCTGGGTTTGTTCCATTGTGCTGTTTGCAGGTACAAATTTAGGCCTGTGGTGTAATACTGTCCTCAAAAGTTGGGGCTGTTTTGGTTGCACAGTTTGGGTTTCACACGTGGGGCAGGTTGGTGGCACATTGGTGCTTCCCAGTGTTATCAGTGCCACACCTTATCAGTGCCACACCAGCCTCTGGTGTGGTGCTGGGGATGGATGCTCAGGGTCCTTGCTGCAGGCTGGGGGACCAGGACAGCTCTGTAGCATTTCCATAGCCAGAGGGATGCTGTCCTCAGCCCACACATATCCCCAGTGTGACTTTGGGAAGGAGGAGTGGATCCAGGCACCCCCTCTGCATGGTATCCTTGGATATTTAGTTTATCCCCCCCATTTAAATCTGAAGGTTTGCTTCAGATTTCTGATTTTTTGTAAAGAAATCCTTCTAGCCTGTAAAATGCCAAGCAGACTGAGCATTTTAATTCACTAATGTTAGGTTTCCTCTGCAAGGACACAGATGAGAGTAAAACTGAAGGTTATTTCAGAATAACCTTGGAGGTCCTCAAAGTTGTGTTTTTTAATGTCAGGTACTGGGGATTAAAAAAACCAAACTTTTACTTGGTGCTATATTTATCTTTTTTTAAAGCTAGTGTTTTTTATCTGTGTAGTTTGAAATGATGCCGTTTCCCTGGAAGCTGCTGCAGGCACTTCCTGCCCTCATTAACTGTGTGGCTGTATGTGTGTGTGGGTGTGTCACCCTTGTGCCTGGGCTGAGAGGGGGTGGGAGGCTCTGGGGGTTCTTTTGAGAGGTTTTTTTGCCCTAGTTTTTTGGGGTTTTTATTTTTCTTTTTTTTTTTCTTTTTTTTCTTTTGTTTTGTTTTGTTTTGTTTTGTTTTGGTTTGGTTTTTTTTGTCTGCTTGGGAGATACCCTTGGATTTGTTCTCTGGCATAGTATTGTGCTTTTCCTGTCCTTTGTGTAGTACTCTGTCTGTGATACGAGTCATGGTACTTGAAGGTAGAAATCTGTGTCACCTGTTCACTGTCAAACAGGCATTTTTTGTTCAGAGAGACATAAACCTTTTTTTTTTTAATGCATTTTTGTGCTTTTGTTTTTGTTTCTTTTTTTAGCATCATGATAGATGAGAAATTAAATGTAAAGGAAACAAATCTTAAACAGATTGCAGAAAGTTAGCTGTATTATAAAGGTCATTTAGGGTAACATAGAGCTTTTGTTTCAATGTTACCTTAAATCATGCCTTGTCCTCGAATTAATTCATAACTATAATACTTGAAAGTATTTTATCTTAAATTAGTATCAAATCCTAAGGATTTTCTGTAAGGTTTTTTTGTAACCTGATTTTTAAGCATGGAGATAACTTACTGTCCACATGAGCGCAGGGGCTTGTGTACAAAACCAGATTCATATTGGATCCTTGGGTATGCCAACTTCTGGTACAATATGGTTGGGAAGGATCATTTTGTTCTTTATAATGCTGCTTTTGGCAGGGTTGGGTTTTTTAATTTCAAACAAACAAACAAACTCCTTTTCTGCTTCTCTACTTTGGTGGAAAGTGTGGTCCTTATTGCACTAAAGAAAACCTCAAGGTGAAAGTTAATCTCACAGGGTCTTTTAGGTGCTTGTGTTGCTCTCTGCTTTCTTGGTTCACTGATTTTTCTAATGAAGTGGAAATGGGCTTTATAGATACACTTTTTCAACAGGTTACACTGCTTTTATTTTATGTAACAGCACTTGTGTTCAGTGGTTTTTACCATCTAAACTTTAAACAGTATTGCAGATTAAATATACTTTTTTAAAAGGACCTGTGTACAGTTAAATGTAGCTGTATTGCAATGTTGTGTGTAGTCACATGGAAGATCACAGCTTCCAACACGGCTGTATTGATGTTGTGTTTGTTCAGGATTTTCTTGGTGTGCATCTAATGGATTTTAATATGCATGGTATTTTTTTCCTAGTGTCTGTCAGGCTGAGATTGGAACCTTACAGTTTTATCTCTATTTTGAGAATAACAAAACCATTTGTTCGCAGGTTTTCTTTTTCAGATGATGAAACTTCTTTCAGCAGTTTAACTTCTAATTAATAGACATTTTTACTTACAGATCCAGCAGAGACCAGATGCTAACCCTTATTTATTCACAGCTGATCTTCTGTACCATTGCATATAATTTTTTTATAAAGGAGCCTTTGGATTAAGTCAATATATTTTTTTCCTGTGGTGCCCTTTGCCTCTCTGCTATGCTTTTTCTCATTTTCATCTCATTTGCCCCCATTTTTCCATTTCCATTTGTATCCTTGTTATGTTCCCGCCCTTTTCACACTCTGTTCATCTCTCTGCTTTTTTTCCTGAGTGCATTGCATTCAATCTTTTGCTCTGTCTTCTGTTCTTCCAGCTCTTTTGAGGGTACTTGAACCCTAGATGTCCTGCTCTGAAATCCACCCTACCACACTCTCCTTTGCAGACTCTGGTGCCTGAAGTTGAGCTTGCTTTGGTACAGGTGTCACCCCTTAGGCCATGCTGCCCATCCCAGAGCACTGGAGAAGCATCACTTAACACTTTTGCTTTGCAGTTTTACCCATGCTGGGGAATGTAGACATTTCCTTTACATGCTTGAGCATTTAGCCAGGCTAAACAGGATTAACAACTATTTTATCCTTTTCACTTTTTCAGGAGCTCTGTTCTT